GTGAAGTTAGCCAATCCAAAAAAAAAAAAAACAAATGCTAAATGTTTTCCCTGATATAAGGAGGGTGACTCAAAATATTACTCAGCACTTAAAAAGAACAAAGTCATGGAACTTGCAGTTAAATGAGGGCATTAGAGAAGATTATGCTAAGTGAAGTTAGCCAATCCCCAAAAAAACAAATGCTAAATGTTTTCCCTGATATAAAGAGGGTGACTCAAAGTGGGGTAGGGAGGGAGAGCAGGGGAGGAAGATTATTTCTATATAGGAAAGAGGGGTGGGAGGGAAAGGAAGCAGGAAAGGGAAGAGCAAGAATGGTGGAATGTGATGGTCATCATTATACAAAATACATGTATGAAGTTTTGAATTTGGTGTCAACATACCTTATACACAGAGATATGAAAAATTGTGGTATATATGTGTATTCAGAATTGTTATGCAAAAAAGAGTACATGTATAATGGCATAATTTGGCGTGAACATACTTTATATACAGAATTATGAAAAATTGTACTGTATATGGGAAATAATGAGTGTAATGTATTCCACTATTGTCATGTATGTAAACAATAAAAAATAAAAATAAAGAACTGAGGCTATAGCTAAGTGGTAGACCACCTCTGGGTTCAATCCCCAGTACCATTAAAAAAATGATAATAATAATTAAATCTATTATGTTATACCTCAGTCAATGAATGAACAGATAAGTGCTGATCAAACCTTTTTTGCCTTAAAAAAAGTTCATGTTTTAATGTAAGGTGCCTCAAATAATTTTCAAAGTGTATAAATTATTAATTTAATGTTAAATTGAGATCAGCAAGAATTTAACTTATGTCTCCAACCAAAAAAGCTAATAAATTATTTAATTTTTGCTTTTTTTTTCATTCATGTTTTCAGTCAAGGTTTAATATAAATATCTTTCACTCCTAAACCTATTCTGATTCTGAAAATGGCTCTTTTGGTTTGAATACATTTTTAAAAAAAAAAGCATAACTAGGAGTACTCAGACTTCTGAGTACTGGAAGAATCAGCAGAAGAGGGTAGAGGCAAAGTATCTCTCCCAAATTACATAACCTCTGGAGTGCCAACATTCTGTTCCAATCCGCTTTTTCTTACCATGGGGGAGGGGGGAAAAAAAAGACAAAAATTCTACCTTCATAGTGTTTATATTACAGTGGAAAAGACTGAAAATAAACAATGAACATAATCCAAAGTATATAATATGTTAGAAGAGAAAAATTGTCAGGAAAAAATAAAAATGAGGGAATGGAACTTGGGATGGTACTTTTCCTTTAAAAGTAAAACAACTTGAGACTAAAGAGGCACTGAAGATTTTCTATATACTGTTCATACTGTTCAGAATTACTTGAATTTATCAACTAGCTGGCATTCATGCATTACAGTCAATTAAATTTTTAAAAGGCAGAAGCAGTTAAATTATTTTTCTTATTAAAAGCCTAGTTTCTTTTTCTTTTTCTGATTAAAAACATTTTCACTTATTTAAAGGCTAATCAAAAGGAGAGATCACCATACAACAAAACAAAACAAATTCATGGATCAGCTAAATAATAATTATAAGCTAAGTTTAACTTATAAATAATGAATACATACATAGCCTTAAATTTTAAAGTTTACATCTGACATCAATTAAGGAAAAAAAGGTAAAAGTTGAAGCCATACCTGTTTTCCCAGCAGGTTTTCCCCTTTAAGAATATCATAGACCTTAGTAGCATTCTCTCTTTGTTGTGCCATCCCACTGTCTCCTACACCCTCGTAAGCAAAATAAGGAAGAATATTTACAAGAATCTTTGGGAAGCAGTCTATCAGAAGACTTTTCCAATCCTCTTGAATCTGATTAGCAATGGACTTAACCTCATCAAAACAACTTCTAATCACCAGATGTGGAATCAAAACCTTATAACAAGATCTAAAAACATAAAATTTAAAACATAGGTTATATATCTTTTCAAAGTCCTTAAAATAATAACAAGCTTTAATACACTCAGCATTAGAGCATCCCTTTACATCATTAAGCATGCCTACTTTAAATTTTATAAAAGGAGAAATAAAGTTAAGTAAATTACAAAGCCACATAAAGAAACAGAGCTTAGCTTACACCACCCTAGTTCTGTGATCAAAAAATTGGGACTTTATATGTATACATTTCTTATATATAATCAACTTAATACAAAATTATTATGAAAATGAAATGTGAAAGCAATTTATGAATTTAAAGAACAGATGTAAAACATTGTTATCACCAAAAGAGATGAAAGATAAGGACCACTAAATTTACTACTGTCTGAATATCCTTCTTAAAGGCAACTATCTACATACAAAAAGCTCTATTAGAGACCTCAAAAAATCCTTAGCACAGAGCATGTTCAATAAATATGAGATGCCATCCCATAATCCTGATGCTTAAATATTACTTTTCAGTTGTATCAAACCTATTCATTTTCAAACATTTCTGTTAGAAGTAGTAAAATGAATTCTTTCACATTAAACTTCTAAATCTAATAGGTAACAATGATTAAATAGTCTATTGTCAAACAACAGAAAAGAAAATCAAGGCTGAAATAATCAGCCACTAATAATTTATCTTTGATCTTTTTCCAAATGCAATATTATCAAGTATTAAAGCCAGAAAGGGACTTTTAGGGTTTCCTTGTTTAACTCCTGTAGAGATTAAAAAACCAAAGCACAGAAGTTATTTACACAACTTACTCAAAGTTACACAGTTGATTACTGGCCCAGACAGAACCAGATTAAAAAGTCTGGTTTCTTGTGTCACTGGATTTAGAATCTGATTCTAGGACTTCACATAATGAGCTTTAATACACAGATTCTAAATCTAGTGACACCCTTCAATATATTTTCAAACAAGTTGTCTCAGTTTTCAAACTATGCAGCCTCCTACCATTGTCTGTGGAACTATAGGAAGTGGAGGACAGGGGAACTGCCAAACCCTGTTACCTAACTTTCAACATATTTCTCATATGCCATACATAAACCTACCTATAGAAATCTTCAACATTTGTGTAGTTCAATAAAATAAAAGGAAAAGAAGATAAGCTATATTCAGTGTCTTGAAGATTTAGCCATTCCAAAACCAGGTAATCTAAATGAGAAGCCATGAAGTCTTCTAAATTTCTATATCCAAAAGTTTCAGAAACTTTCTCCAAAACCTATACAAACCCAAAAATAAAATGAATAAAAATATAAAAATGTCATAATTTTCAACATTGACAACATATCAAAGGAAGTTCTAAGGTAAAATTATTCTGTCTTAAATCCAAATTTATAAAAATCTAAACATTATATACCACTTATAATAATTGTAAAGTATAATGGTATACTTAAAAAAAAAAAAGAAAGAACTTAACACTGAGAGGTAAAAAAAAAGGTTGATTCATCTAAGACTGATTGCCTATAGGAAAGTCTACTATAAAACTCCATGAAAACCATGGTGGTAGAATGAGAAAATGTGTATCGGTCCATATTTATCAAATAAAAATCTGCAACAGGAAGGATGAGAACTGCTAAACCATTCTGAGGTAGTGGAACAGGGAAGGGAGCCACATTCTATAATACTAAACTGATCTGAGTGCAAGGTTTGGATA